GGCTGCCCAGGGAAGTGGTTGAGTCACCATCCCTGGAAGTATTTAAAAGACGGGTAGATGAGGCGCTTAGGGACATGGTTTAGTGGGCATGGTGGTGTTGGGTTGATGGTTGAACTCGATGATCTTGGAGGTCTCTTCCAACCTTTAATGATTCTATGATTTCAGATCAGCATCAACAGTAAAAATTAACTCTTGTTGCCATAAAGAGGAAGTTTCTTGCTTATTGCTAAATCGTGCATCATCCCCTCATGCATCACCACTCCTTCACTGCCTTTCAGTGATGCAGGAGAAATGCTACGTGAATCCAGCTTAGCCTTAATGATTCTATGATTTCAGATCAGCATCAACAGTAAAAATTAACTCTTGTTGCCATAAAGAGGAAGTTTCTTGCTTATTGCTAAATCGTGCATCATCCCCTCATGCATCACCACTCCTTCACTGCCTTTCAGTGATGCAGGAGAAATGCTACGTGAATCCAGCTTAGCCAGTGGGACTACCACCCAGTCTCTTCCAAGGACCTCTCTAGTCTCCTTGCCTTTAAAAACAGTAGCAATTTCCTTATGAATTGACTGGATATTATTTAAGATCAGATTTTGTCTTCCTTATTCCAGAAAAGTGCTGCTTTACTCAGGAGAGGTGAAAGAACTTCATGCAGTGTATGGTCAGAGCATGAACACTGATCTGGTTTATACACTCTTAGCTCCTTCACTTACCTCTTCCCTCCCTCACATGGTGTAATCAGTTCAGACCAGGGTGTGAATTTGGAACTACCTCGGCTAAGGACAAATGCCCAAAAGGTTTCTAAAGCATGAGGAATAAACACCAACATTTCAATGAGACTCCACTGAGTATTTAAAATGTGACTTTCTGCTAAAAGGAGCATGGAGAGAAAACAAACAAACAAACAAACAAGTCCCTAATAACTAAATACATCTGATGCTTGTGCGAATGTCCTCACGTTAGTAATGTATTTCACCATCTCTTAGTTTTGTGAGAAGGGGTGGCACCTAAACTGTTAAAAGGACGGAGCCAAGCGCAGGAACAGGCAGAGGTCAGAGCTTCAGGCAGGGAGCTCAGGAGTCAAAAGGAATTCTGGAAACCTGAACTCAGGTCCCCACCTGCAGCAGGGCTCCTGTGGCACTGAGGCTGAGGCGTTTAGGACAGGATCCAATTCACCAGAGCTCAGGCACCAGGTCTGAGACTGCTCTGGAGCTGCCAGTAGTCAGTGGATAGAGAAAGACACCTCCAGAAAGTAGCTCTTCCCACTGTAAATGTCCAAGACAGGCAACAATAATCACCCACAGGACGCACCCACTCTTCTCCAAGGACATGAAATGAAGTCTAGATGAAGAGCTTAGATTATATCCCTATCTTTTTGATGGTTAGAGTTACGTGAGCTGAATTCCACCTGAACACTCTCTGTGCCTCAGCTCCCCTTGTAAAATCAACAGCATTTTCTCCCCTGACAGGGATGTTATGAAGATCAACATGCTAAAATCTGGGATGTGCTCAGCAAAAACACATGCTTGTGAAGGAGGGCCATGAAAGCATCACATACAAACAGGAAAAGGGGCTGGGTCTGAAATCTGGCTCCAGACACAAAAGCAGCATTATCTATATATTCCAGCTGCCCTCAGTTACATCAGTGCCAACCCTGTCAAGACAACAGGACTGCAGGGATGGGAGAATCAGAGCTATGCACTTCCTGGCCAGGATGGTACGCAACTGAGAAACAACACTGCTTGACTTCACAAGCCTCAGCTGTGCTTTCAGGACAGGCAGTTCAACTTGAGCCTTTGTTCACTCAAGGCTGAGCTATTAATTTAGAATTCACTGAGGCACAATGAACAGGGAACCCAGTGACAACGTTTTTATAGTCACTCTCCATACAATGGAAACTTGTGATTCCCAAGGCAACTCTGACCTGTGTTTGATTAGTGTACTTAAATCTCCACCTTTGCTTTTATAATAACCAGTATTTTCTGTCAGAGCTTGCTCTTACCCTGTTGGAATCAATTCTTGTCCTGGAGGTGTAGATGGGAGGAGGGATGTTGAAGGCTTGAGGAACAAGATACTCTTCAGCATCCATCATATCTTCCAGATCTTCCTCATCAAGAAGGTTTTGGAAGAACTTGCTGTCATTTGGGCTTGGGAGCTTCATACGATCATCTCCCTAAATAGGTTGTATTGAGAGAGGAAAATGGTCAAAAGATGGATTAATTTCCCAAACAGGGAACTTCAGCCTTCGTCATGCCCTGGCAGCCAGGCTGCAGGGACCACACATGCTGCTTTGTTTGTTCTAAAGCACCACATCCACATCATTTGTTTTGATTTTTTTTACTGGGAATATGATGACAGAAAGAGAATAACTGCATAAATCAAGCAAAGTCATTTTTTGGCGTTCTTGTGATCAAGCTTTTATTCTTTCTTCTCTCTTTTTCCCATACAAGCTCAGTTTCTGACCCAAGTTCTGTTAAGGCCTGATGTATTTTGTGAAATATCTCAGCTATTTAGGCTCATATGAGGGGAAAATAACATGGAAACTGCTGTGTCTGGGTGTTTGCTTTATTTTCATTTAGGGACTTAGAGGCTAAATTTCCCTCTCATCCACATGGAAAGTTCTGCAGAATATAACAGAGCTGAAAGCAATAAAAATCAACCCGGGGAACAACAGCAACAACAATGAGAGGTGTTTTTATTGAAATAGCATCTACAAGCTCGGGAGGCAAATCAGGGCTGCACTTTGCTTGGTGCCACAAAACATCACAAAAGGCAGCCCATGCCCCAGACACCTAACAGCCCATAGAAATGATGCTAACTTAACTGCATGGCTAAAGAACGGCCTCCCACTCTGCAAGAATTATTATGCAACGTGTGGAATCCAGCAGGGAATGATGGGTATGCTACAGGGTGCATACAGACCGGTTTAAAAGCTCAACAGCAAGCTTGTTATTCTTGATTGCATCTGGGGGCAATGGCGAGTCATAATGGCAGAGATACCAGTGCAATGGAGTCACCCTGGTTTCTCCTCAAGAAGCACATGGCCTATATTGTCTGCAAGGATCACTGGAGAAGAAGCTTCACAGAATGAAATACCCACCAGACTATACAACAGGGGAGGGAAGGGCAGGGGAGAGAAAGGAGGGAAGAGGTATTTGGAATAGGGAAACATGTCCTATATAATGAAGTAATTTAATCAGACTGATTTTTCCAGAATCACTTGTATCAGCTGAACTTACAATTTAACACAGTGGGGAATACTGCAAGAGAAATTCCACATTCAGCACCACAAATCCTCTTGACTAGTATTTTACTTTTCAAATATATTTTACTTCTCCTCAAGCTGTAGGAGAGTAGCGTACATTCACACTGTGCAATAATACACCATGAGTAGGCCAGCATGTCTACACAGTGAAATGAAACACCATACGGTGAGACTAGCACTAGATCCAGAAGCAATCAGGAGACATAAAGTGGCAGTGACTGTACTTCTGGAGACTCTTCAGCTAGGAATTGTTATGTCAGTGTGAAGCTAAGGACCAGCTGGATGTATCTCTGCCCTGGACTCCATGATGTGGAGCAGATACAGAATGAGATATAGCATGAGAGTATCATTACCTAGATCAAACTAATTCCATGCTTTGGTCTCTGGTGTTTCAACATCACCTTACTTCTTTTAATTTTTCATTTTCATTTGAACTGCTCACACACTGGGACCATCTAAGGACCTTACCAAATAGTTGAGATTCATTTTCTGTGGCTTGAGTCGGAGTTGTAATAAACACATATACAACTCTAGGCTTCTGCAGAATGTAGGAGTGAAAGGACAAAAATTTCCACAGATGCCTGTACTCAGGGCATACACAGCTCCAGCTAGATGTAGTCAACAGATATGGACACAGTGGTATTGCCACAGTGTAGGCATCACATTTCATGTGATGAATCATGCTCATGTGGGTCTATCGTAGGGACTGTGAAGCAGTACAGAGCCTACACAGCCTAAGGAAGACACAGAGGGAAGCTCCTCTCTAGTGTGAGAGGTACCAATGTGACACAACTCCCTGTCTTCTGAGAAACCTTTATGTTTAGGCTATGAAAAGAAACTTTCTTATGATCTCAGCAGTGCAGGGAAGTGTCTTCAGGGTAATCCCCTGAGATTCAGCCTAAGCAATTGTAGAACCAAACAAGCCCTGGGTCTAAAGTAGGTCCACTGTCCACTGACAGACAAATCTTGTCCCCATTTTCATGAGAGAATGAAAAGTACTGAGCAGCTTGCAAAGCCAGATCCTGCATATGTACTCATAAATACAAGCTTAGGAAGTTAATTTCAGATTATTTTATTATTATTATTATTTTTGAGGTACTGACACTGGCCATTCTACTTCATTCTTGTATAGTACTGTGGTCACTGTTTGCTTTAAGTTCAAGAGCACCTTGAACTTAAGGGGCTTGCCTTTGAATCTCTTAACAGTCAGGTTTGGCAGACAGAATTCTTTTTTTTTCCCCCTGATGTTGCAGAGTTGCTTACCTGAATTACTAGGTATCTCTGAGGGTCTCGAGCCATTCTAGAGAATTCAGCAGCCAGCTCCTTGAATTTCGGCCGACTGTCAGCATCAATCATCCAGCCTGGGGACAGATGAAAGACAAGAAAGAAAACAGTTAATTGCCAAGGGAAGAAATAATTTAGTTTTTAAAAATGCACAAGTTTGAAGTCCTTGATGTCCTTGATAGCTCTGGCCTAAAGAAAAGTTGCAATAAAGAGCCCAGAAGAATGGAAAGCTAGAACACTATGATGCATCTAAAATGGAAAACATCTGGTCTTGGCCAGAGAAGACTAGATTGTTCCACACTGCATGGATTTCTTCTTAATTTGCTCTGAGCTCCTGTTTCCCATCCCCAAAACAGAGACAGCAACAATGCCTTGGAATTTTCTGTGTCTATCTTGCCCATTTAGATGTCAGCTCTGACTGTCTTTTACTATGGATGTGTCCAACCTCTAATATAATGAATCTGATCTCATCTGAGTCTAGTGGGTTTATTACAAAGTTACTACTAAATACAATTTTACTTTAACTGACCGACTGTTCCACAGTGACTTAGATTAAAAAGATCTGTTCAACAGATCTACAGGATGACTGACCTCACATCTGCCTTTCAGGTAATTCTGCATTCACGTGTCCGCATCATTAACACAGACCTTACAAAGGCATTAGATGCTATTTTAATTGAGTAAGGGTGATTCTTTTGTCCTTCACTCTCCAAGAAACATTCATTAAGAACAACAATTCTCAATCCCTGCTAATGCTATTTCCCTGCTAATACTACTTGCAAAACAAGCAAGTAGTATAGGCAGTCACCACCAGCAACTAGTTTATCTCAGTGTCAGCTTTTTCTAATGGAAGATCCTATCAGCAGCTTCCCAAGAACATGTTCTCATTTGCCAGGGAGGCTAAATGAAGCAGGCCTTATCTCCTTCGTGCTGTTTAACTGAAGAAGTGACTAACACAGGAAAAACAAAGCTACTATAGCCTGTAAAGAATTTCACACAAACATTACAGGACTAAGTCTGTACGTCTAGCTGTAACTTCCTGTCTTCCAGAATACCCCATCTACTAGGACTTCCTTTTGTCCACTGAGATTTGCTTCATACTCATCAGAAATCCTATCAGATGGAACATTTTTACACTCAACCAACATGAACCCCTTGCACTATTCAGACAATTTCCATACCTGCATGCACAGTACAACTGTTTTCAGAAAATAGGTTATTTACCTCTTCTAGTTTTATTTTCTTTCTTTCAGTGTATTTGTGTACAAAGCAAAAGGGAAAGGACTATATAAGATGGATGAGATGTCTGTATGTTAATCTCACCTAAATTAAGTCAGAAACACCAGAGAGATGTTCCTAATTCTTTTTAAATTAGAAGCATAGCCTTGGAGGATACTGTCAGTAGTGTGGGTACCTTGGAGATAAAAGGGTAGGAAGAAACCATGTGCAGACTGTTTTCCTTTTTTGCTAAAGTAAAAATATTCATAAATTATTGTACTGGACTAAGAATGATAAAAAATTATCCTCTCTGTAGCATTTCTTGTATTAATTTAATTTTACTTTCTGTTATTACTATTGCAGTAATCATTCTTGTTACTAACAATAAAACATTCACGCTTTCTTTCCTCAATATTTGGAACCAGCATTACTCCTCACAACCTTTACTGGCTGGGTATCCATGTACCATAATTATGTTTAATACTATCTTTTTTAACATCAAAATCAATTGTCATGGAAATGACAAGGGTTTACAATAACAATCACACAATTTTGACTTCACAGCAAGAATATGAGATACCATCTGACAGTAATAAGAAGCTGAGCTAACTCAACCCTTCATGGCTAAATTCGTATCTTTTGCAATTGCAAAAAATGTGCATACAGTATTTAAATGGAATTTACAGTATCTTGGGAAACTTTTGTTTGGAAGCAGCCTGTCCTATTACCCAGCATTGTCACAGACTATAGATGCAAATGTTCTAAAACAGTGTCCCTCTTGCACTGAGCATAGGGATATTAAAAGCGACAATTACTTACACTTCACCATCACCATATAAACATCAATAGTGCAGATAGGAGGTTGGGGCAACCGCTCTCCCTTCTCCAAGAGGTCAGGGATCTCTCGAGTTGGGATTCCATCGTAAGGCTTCCCACCAAAGGTCATAAGCTCCCAGATAGTGACTCCTAGACAGAAAAAAAGTGTTAAGATTTGAGGTCATCCTACTCAGATTCCTTCACAATTTCTTACAGCGCAGTATTCTGGCCCAGTTCTGGACTGCAATGTCTTCTTCATTACCAGTGCCTGTAAAAACACTAAAGTTTGGTCAGCCATTTAAAAAGCTCCAGAAAATGGTGACACAGTACTTTGTGTTAAACTTCAAAAGCAACTTCCCTCATTTTTATTGGGGTAAGAAGCAGCATGATAGATCTGAGGCACAAGAGAAAGGTCTAAGACAAATAAATGGTGGTAAAGTAAATGGATGCAATAACAAAAGAATGCATTGCACTCTTTTATCATAAGAAAAGGGAAAATGAATGGCTGATGTACTCTATTATTTTAAGGGGAAAAAACACAGATGTTCCCTAACTTAGAGCATCAATTTCCCACAAAGGTACAGCAGTGAGTAACATTATGTCATTGTCTTTGCCTTGTAAGTCATTCACAGCCACTTGTATTATTTTTTTCCTTAAATCACCTTATGGATTTGAATTATGATAGTGCTGTGCTTCAAAACCAAGATTCTGTTTTTGAATAGCCATAGGATTTGTTTTGACATCAGAGCTGGAAATAAAGATCATATATCATAAGTAACAGAATTAATCCCCCAACAAAATCTTAAATATTGAAAATGCTGCTTTCACACCAGTTTAACTTTTATCTTCATTGCAAAGGTCATTTTAAACATTCCTCCAGATCAGTAACCATATTTTGCCAGCTGTCATACTAATGTGAAAGATGATGGGCAAAATTACCATATGTATAAAACACATTTATTTCACCCTCATTCCCCTCTTTGTTAATGTTCAGTAACTATAACTTGCCAATTGTTTTTGGTCTTGTCCTTTCCGATTATAGATATTCTGGGCTTCCTGCATTTAAAATGAATTTCATAAATGGAGGCATATTTTTTTCCTACGTGATACGGGTTATACAGAATTTGAGCAGAAAGAGCAGCTTTACATGATCAATTTAACTTTCATATGTTTTTCTCAGCTGAATAGAAGAGGGCAGTCAACCAGTCACTGCAAACAGTGTCTTTTGCTGCTACCCACAGGTAAAAGTGAGTAATGAATAGAATTGTACACCTTTTTGTTTCAAAACGATATGGCAACAGGAAATGCAAATAGGAGTCCAAAGCCCTAGATACTGCTAAAAAATTCCACTTACAAAGGTATACACGATTTTATTATTAATAGCTATATTAGATAAACAGGCAGACAGCTCAGCAGATGTGGCATAAAAGCTCATCTGGATAACAGAATTAACAACAGTGAATGAACATCTCCTTTCTCAAATGTGACTTTTTTTGGTGTGTGTGGAGTCCACATGAGCTGACCTGCCTAACCAATTCCCAAGTTATCTGTGAAATTAAATGGAAGCTTGTTTTAGTTAGCTTGGAGAGCTCATCTCTTTCTCTTCTTTCTCTTGCTGTATTTGCTCTGTATTATGACAGATTCCCTTTTATCTTACTGTAGGTAGAGAAAGTCCCATAAGCCTGAAAATGTTTCTTGACATTCATGGCTTTTAGAGTTAAGATTTTCAAAGGATTGCTGAAAATTATGACCTGCAGCTGTATTTTTATGAATCTGTGGCTGAGCTGAAAGAGGCCTTCTTCAGTCATAATAATCAGCCAAACTGCTACCAGCCCAGACCTTATGGCAGTCATCCCAGCTGGGACATCATGATAAAGTATTTTAGTGAGGGAAGTAACGTGGGAGACAAGTAACAATTGCTGTTTAGAGTTACACATTAAAAAAAAAAAAAAAGAGGCAAGAAAAAGAAAAAAAAAGGAAGAGCAAAAACTACTGGAATTAACTCCTCTAGAAAAAGAGCGTATCTTTAACACAGTAACACAACTTGGTTTAATGCTTTACAAGAGACAAATTTTTAAACTGATCACATGAAGATTTACCATAGCTCCAAACATCACTCTGATGGGTAAATTTCCTGTAGTGTATGCACTCCAGAGCCATCCACTTAATTGGCATCTAGGGAAGGACAAGAGAAATGTAACCTTAGAAATATAATATTAAAACAATACAGATGCATACTGTATGTAGACATCAGCTTCCTCTCTCTTTCCTTTTTCAACTGCAAGCTTAAAAAAACCCAGCACTACCTAGCAGAGGAAATGGTTGTTCCTGCCCTCTAGAATGGGGCTTTGCCTCATAAAACATATGGAGGTGAGAAATACGAATGAGTTATCTGCAGAACTTCTCATACCACCCAGATTTTACTGATTCAGATGTAGTAGAACAACTCATTTTTTCATCATACCTGTGTAAAGATGGGATCAATGCAAAAATTACATCCAATCCCCCTAAATCTGAAGTGCAGCAGAGAAGGTGGAATGCAGAAGCTCTTTTGCCTCAACAGTTTGCAAAACCAGACACTGCTATCTCAATTGCTCTCTAATGAGGCTAGTTAATAATGCGGTGTCCATAATACTTCACAGTCCACATAATCATCATCAAACAGGCAATAGGAGTATTTACAGGGCTTAATTTCTAACTCCTAATATTCGTTAGGAACTTAGCCTTCCCAGTTCTCTGTATCATTACTGCAGTGAGAAAAGTTGCTCCTGAAAGCAAGTCAAAAGTCCCGAGTTAGCCTTTGGCTCTGAATCACCCCTGGGGGGAGGTCATCTCTTCTGACAGAGAAGGCTATGTAGGCAAACACAAACCTAGGTTTCGCATAAGGATTCACCCTCTTGAGTTCACGTTAAAATGAGATTCACGGTGTTTCCTCTTCCTGAGCTGGGCCTGTGAGGCACAGTCTTGCAGTCCATTAATTTCTAATGGACAGACATTAAAAACAGATTTTTACCTGGCATCGACTTGTATGGGTCGCCTCTAATTTGGAACTATGGAAGATGTACTGGAATAAACTAGAGAGATATGTAACTGCACACAAAATCTGAACAGATGGTGGGTGTAAAAGCAGAGGATGTGTCTTCATTCAAACCCTTATGAAAACACCTTCCATGAAGTTGACTAATGAACATACCCTATACAGTTATGGCAAAAATAGCACTCTTTAATAAAGGTTGGCTTAGCACTTGCAAAGACAGTTCATCCTCCTCCACTAAACTCTGCAGAAGTGTATCGCTTTCGTTCCCATTAAATACAACTGGGTCGTTCCAAACTTGAAGAATTGCTGAAGTGGCAAAGTTGCATTGCTGATCATGGCATAACTCACGTTGGAAGAGACCTCAGGAGGTCTCTAGTCCAACCTCAGGCTCAAAGCAGGTTCACCTATGAGATCAGACCAAGTTACTCAGGGCTTTACCCACTCTGGACTTGAAAATCTCCAAGGATGGAAACTGCACCACGTCCCTGGGCAACCTGATCAACCGCTTGATTGTTCTCATGGTGAAAAGTTTTTCCTTTTATCCAGTCTGAATCTGTCTTAGCATGCTCTCAATACAACTTTAAGCTGCAAATGTCTTCGGGATTTCACAGAATGCTTCTCTGGAACTGGGAAGTGACACATCTGACATGTAAATCCTGCTCCAGAACTCCCAGCTGTGTGACTGGCTTCACAAGTCCAAGACACCATCTAACAGCTGCCAGGGAACAGCTGGTATGCAAGGACCAGGTAATTTTCTGTCATTCACTGGCTGATGGAGGGAAGAGGCAGAGGGGTTACTGAAGAGGTCATTAGAGAACTGAAGGAATAAGGGAAGACTGCCAAAATTCCACCTTTGTTGCCAAGCGGTCTTTTTACTGGGGAAATGGGAAAGCACCAGTGACTCCTTTCAAGCTCTTCACCTCATCGACTGAAATGCCGATGTAATCCACGCAACAGCTCCCAAGGGCAACAGCCACACAAATAAAGCAGCAGCCCATCCAGGAGAAAAGCACACACCGGCAACAGCTGCTTGTCCCAGACAAGGGCATGAGTGAGCACAGAAAAACACAGATAGCAAGTAGACAGAAAGCAAACTGAACATTCAGGAAAAGGAATGACAGGAGACGCAGAAACCCTTAGGATTTTGTGACAGGTTGAAATGTGGAATTTCAAGATGTTTAGGGAGCAGCCGGCAGCAGTATATACTTACAGCCTTTGCTTACAGCCTTCTGAATTTTATAACGCATTAATCTGAAGGCATTAGAAATGAGGTGCGGCACTACGTGGATGTTGTGCGGCATGCTGAAAAGTAATACGGGAAAACGTCTAGTTTAAAAATTATCCTCAAGCTAGCTTTTTAGTGGCCTGGCATTCAGCATGACACTGGAGACTTGGATGCAAGAAATAGCATACGCAGGCTCTTCCAATGTGATAGAAGAGGTGGCTCTTTGCTGAGCATATGTACACTCTCACATGCTACAAATACAAACATGTTCTGTGGCCTTCTTTTTGTTTTCTGGAAAATTACTTGTTTGGGAAAATGGGACTGCAAGTTATGTAATAACTGCAAGTTATTACAGAGAAAGGGTCTTGGCAGAAATGTCCTAGAACATCTGTCACTTGTTGAACTGACTTCAGAAGTCTTCAAAACTTCAAGGGCAACAAGAAAAGCTTCTATAGATACGTTGGGGATAAAAGAAAGACAAGGGAAAATGTGGGCCCTCTCTGGAACAAAAGGGGAGACTTGGTTACCCGGGACACGGAGAAGGCACCAGGGACATCAAGGGCAACAAGAAAAGATTCTACAGGTACGTCGGGGATAAAAGGAAGATGAGGGAAAATGTGGGCCCTCTCCGGAATGAAATTGGAGACCTGGTTACCCAGGATATGGAGAAGGCAGAGGTACTCAATGACTTTTTTGCTTTGGTCTTCACTGGCAAGTGCTCGAGCGTCACCGCCCAAGCTGCAGAAGGCAAAGGCGGGGACTGGGCGAATGAAGAGCCGCCCACTGTGGGAGAACATCAGGTTTGAGACCATCTAAGGCACCTGAAGGTGCACAAGTCCATGGGACCCGATGGGATGCATCTGTGGGTCCTGAAGGAACTGGCGAGTGAAGTTGCTAAGCCACTATCCATCATATTTGAGAAGTCGTGGCAGTCCGGTGAAGTTCCCACTGACTGGAAAAGGGGAAACGTAACCCCCGTTTTTAAAAAGGGAAAAAAGGAAGACCTGGGGAACTACAGGCCAGTCAGTGTCACGTCTGTGCCTGGGAAGATCATGGAAG